ACTTAATTTTGTGTGAAAATAAATTGGGATGATTGTTCAAAATGTGATTTGTTTGGAAGTGACCAAAGAGAAGCATTATCGCTGGCTGCTCCAAAACTGTAGAATTTCTTTCCTTGAGAGATCTACAAAAGCCTAGGCTTAAGTATTTTTCATAAGTGCTCCAAATCCTTTAAGCTGCCAATTTGTGACTGGGGTAGAGTATTTTAAGTTCTGTTTTTAAGGTTTATATTCACAGACACCGACAGGGAAGCAGTGGCCCTCCGGATGTTATTGGACTCCAGTTTCCATCAGCCCCATCCAATGTGGTCAGTGGCCAGAGATTATGGGAGTTGTAGTCTTAACAACATCCAGAGGGCCACAGGTTCCCCATACCCATGTAAAAATGAAGTACTACCCAACCTGAGGCTTCCTGCAGAGACAGATTTAGGGGAGCAGGACTGGTTCAGTTGCACTGGGCATAGAGCCTTGGGGATGCCGCAATTATGATGCAGAATGGGGTGGGTGAGAGGGGAGTGCAGAATTTTAGTGTTGCACAGGGCGCCACTGAAATTTAAGACTCCAAGGTCTGCCACTGCTTCCTGCATTCCAGGGGGTGTAGGTGTGGCTACTGATCTAAATAAATGAAATGAAGGAAGGACTAGGGAATGGTTTAGAAATAATCAATTTTATCCTGGGTTGAAGGTGGAAGTAGATCTCTGCCCTCCTCTCCACCCAACTTCAGTAGAAAAGAATGATGTGAAATGTGTACTCACTATCCCTGGAGCTTTCCTTACAAAGAGGCTTAGGATAAAGAATGAACAACCACAATTTCCCATGCTAGAGTTATGATTGCATATGCTTATACTAACTAACAATTTATTACATAAGTACGCTGTCAGGAGATATATTGGCCCCAGAGGCCTTTTCCAATCCCAGAATCACCCCTTCTTCCTGATGCAGAGTTCCTGCCAAATCCCTGCGCAGCCAGAGGGAGTCTATGTAGGATCTTAAGAGACAAGAGGAAACATGTACTCACTAGCAAAAATATTAGTGCTAAATCATGCTAGTGAAACCATGTTGCTTAACATAATTCCTAATGCAACAGCTTTTCCTGGTTTCAGTCTGATCCCTGTGAGAGAAGACAACAGGTTTCAGTTTTCTTCCTTTCTGTTATTTTAGGAGGAAAAGGAGATAGCCCTAGAATAGCTTAGGTAGGGTTACAGGGACACCTGCCCCAGACCCCATCTAGACAGGAGTATCACATATTTTATGGCATATATGTTGTCAGTTATTAAAATAATACTCTTTGCATACATCTATAAAACAGATTAACACACAAAACAAAGAATGGCAGCAGTCTGCTTCATCAATGAAAAATTTGAATTTCAGCAGCAATATCTTAAAAGAGCAGAACTATTCCTAAGAGGCTCAGTGCCAAATTTTGCTTCTGGGAGTTGGTTGAAGCATGGAATTAGAAGTCTTCCATTTTTAGCCTGGTTGTATGTTAAAGGAGGCAGCTAGCCCCACTGATAACCTTGAGAATTTTGGTGAAAATGTCTGCATATGAATATTTTGCATAGTCTTATTCATATTGTGTGTGTGGCAGGGGAGCTCCTTCCACTGATTGCCTGGGCTGGGGTGGTGGTGTGAAGTATTCAGTTGCTCAGGGGATTCAATAGCTTTCAGTCCTGTGACGGAAAGGAAATTTGTTGGTTAGACTGAGATTGAAACCTTACACGGGGCAGGCTAAAGATGGGGACTAGTTCCTGGGACACAGAGCCAAGAGACCCAGAAGAAATGAGACATGAGGTGATGGAAATTAACTGAGAAAGAGTGATCTGAAGGAACGATAGATGGTTTTAACAAAAAGGGCAGAGGTGACCTTTCAAGGACCACATGCCAGTGGTGGGTGGGACCAGAGGCAAAAGTGGGCAGAACAACGAATGCAGATTTAGCCCTTGTACAATGGGCTAGTTTCTACATGCACTCACACACCTTTCTTGATCCTTCATCCAGGCAAGAAAGAGACATTATCAGAGTTCCAGGATCCATTCCAGACAGGTAAAAGAATACTCAAAGAGGGTGCAAAGTAGGGACAGTGAAGAGAGAGGCTGTGGCTTGAGGAGGGCCTAATAGAAAGGCCTGGAGAATCACATTCAGCCCTTAGACAAGAGGTTTCTCACTCTTGGACTGCACCAAGAAGGAATTTTGGAATGACTTCACAAAGATTAAGGCCAGAAAGGGTGATCAGCAAAGAGAACAAGTCTGATTTAACATGGTTAAAAGCCTAAACCAGAAAGAGAAATTTTGTTAGATGGAACTTCCACCATCAGTTCAGCACTGTGACTTGGTAACCCCACAAGGCAATGCCTTCTGAAGATGCAGGGAGTACATTTATTTAGTTTGAAAATAGAATGCCACCTTTTTGCCATAACTGGTATTCCCGGGTTCATAAAAACACTGGGGGGTGTGTGTGTGAAACTCTACATAAATAACAAAAGAGCAGTTAAAATGTTAAAAAAGCATAAACAAAAGCCAATCCTTAGCAATGTATTTAACATATTGACTTGAATCTTAATAACGAGACAGTTATTGGCTGCAGGGCTTTAGGTATATTTGCTACTGTGCCCTGAGCAGATCAGGAAAGGAAGGGCAATAAACAGGAGTCCAAGGGACCCTTTTAACAGACTGTACTCCACAATTTAGGGGGACACAGGTGGCGCTGTGGGCTAAACCACAGAGCCTTGGACTTGCTGATCAGAAGGTCAGTGGTTCGAATCCCCGCGATGGGGTGAGCTCCCGTTGATTGGTTCCTGCTCCTGCCAACCTAGCAGTTCGGAAGCACGTCAAAGTGCAAGTAGATAAAGAAGTACTGCTCTGGCAGGAAGGTAAACGGCGTTTCCCTGGGCTGCTCTGGTTTGCCAGAAGTGGCTTAGTCATGCTGGCCACATGCTGGCCAGTCATGCTGGCTGTACGCCGGCTCCCTCGACCAATAAAGCGAGATGAGCGCCACAACTCCAGAGTCGGCCATGACTGGACCTAATGGTCAGGGGTCCCTTTACCTTTACTCCACAATTTAGGGGATATCAGGTGGAGGCATGGCACCTACTTAGAACCATGGCTCCTTCTACACAAGTTTTAGTGCTTTTCTTTACTGACCTGGTGAAAAGGGGGCTACACTTATTATGGGGATATTCAGTGGATGGGATTTGCAATACTGAAGAGTCTAGTTCAAGCAGAACTCATCCCACAGTAGGAAAAAACCATAACTATTCATTTGTTGCAGCTACATCTGTACACACCTTTATTTATCTTTCATTGGTTGGAAGATCAGTGTGGTATAGTAGTTAGCTCAAAGAAACTTAGGCTGAAATCTCTTCTCAGCCAAGTGTGAGTGACTTCGGACCAGTCACTTTCTCTCAGTCTAATCTTCCTCACTGGGTTGTTGCGAGGGCACACTTGGGTGAGTGAAAACTATATGTGCTGCCTTGAGAACCTGGGAGGAAATGTAGGATATAAATAAAACAATAAACTAAAATATCTGATTTGTGTTAGTTTACTTTTAGGTAAGTGCTTCAATTCAGTTCATCATTTTGGTTGCCCTTTCTGTATTTTTCCCAGCTCTGTTATATCCATCCTGAGATGGGCCAGCCAGAACTGTGTACTGCATTCCAAACATAGTTGCAATTGAAATGCAGCAGTATTATGCACATGTGTTACATATCACGAGCATGATTTAAGAGTACTTTAAGAAAACGGAGCCAAGTCAAGCATGCCTGTGAGTCTGTGCAAGTTTAGGCCTCTGACAAGATTTACTGCTAGAACCCTGTTGGCTTTGGGTGGGTCTTGGCTATTAATACCTCTGATTATTAACCACAGTAAACAATATAGCCAATTGTACCGAAAGGAAAGGATACTTGATAAGAGGACTCTTCTGTTGGGACAGGAGACTCTGTGTCTGCCCCTCCCCTTCCCCTTACATGGGAAACAAGCAGCAGAAGAAAGCAAACACAATGTGCTTAATGTATTTTAAAGAGAGTGCTGTGTTGTAGGAGAATCCTCTTTACATAAAATCAAAGGTGTGTAACAGGAGGGGGAAAGAGAGAGAGAGAGAGAGAGAGAGAGAGAGAGAGAGAGAGAGAAGCTTTGGATTTTCTCTGTCAGTGACAGCTTCATGTTTATTTATTTGAGCAAAAGGAGCAGATACCAAAGCAAAGACGTGCTAATTTTATTCCCAGATCAAATAAAGGAACACCGAGCATGTTCTCATCAAAGTCAGTGATTACTTTAGGGGGAGCTAATACAATGAATGTTATTAAATGAAGCAACCTCTTTAAAAGGGCATCTCACATTAAGGATTTTAGCATAAGTAATATTTTGTTGTGAAAGCTTATGCAAGATGAAGTCTTCAACTGGAGGGATGGAGAACCCTGTCAGCTTTGAGAGACTCTGGGTGTTTGCCTGGAGCACTCTGATCCTAGCCAGTGTTTTTCCACTGTTTACCAGGCACATGTTAATACATCTTTGCAGATGGATTTTCCACAGCCAAGCTAATCAATCCTTTTACAAATGGACAGGCCTTAGCAGTGCTTCTTCCTGTGCAACACACATAAACATTGCAAATAATGCTTAGAGAAACAAACTATTTTTTAAAAGCACATAGACAACCCCCCAGGCTGAGACAACTCTACTAGAGTGTACAGTTTGGGTCACCACACCTCAGGAAGTATACTGTAGGTCCTGGAAAAAGGCAACCAAAATGATCAAGGTGCCAGAGCAACTTTTCTATGAGGGAAGGTTGCAACATTTGAAACTTTTAAAACATCAATTCTGACGGGCAGATGGAAGCTGAGATGGTAGGCTGAGACTGCGTTTAAACTTTTGACTGTGTTAAACAGATGTTAAAAAGGGGGAGATTATGGGATCTTATGTTTTTCAGCACTGTTTCAAATATTTCACATTATTCCCTATGCTACGTGTTGTATAGGGTTATTCTCCCTTTAAAAAGCCAGAATGTTGACAGCCAACATTCTGCTAACTCCATTGTACTGCTGTAATTCCATTGCTGCACTTGAAGAAGTAGGTTATAACCTATCAAAACTTAGGATGTATTAAAATATCTTTAATTCACTACTGAATTAATACTTTACATTTACACAAAAAGGCTTTTAATTGTCATACCAAATCTTTTATTGATATGTTTAGGTACTAACTGCTACCAGATATGAAAAAATGAAGGAAATGATTAGTAAAGGCAGACGACAGATACAAGATGTGTATAACAGATCACTATCCTGCGTGGAGCTCCAAGAACACTCTGTGACTTCATCAGTGACTTGGATCAGGGCAAGCTGTATGTGTTTTTGTGCTTCCCTTGTGTGCCAGAAGTATCCTTAGAGCACATCCATATTGTTCTTTGTCTTCCAGACCTTACATTTTACTTCAGTATCCATAAGCTTGGTAACTATTGTTTTGTTGAGGTGACATTTTGGAAAGAATGCATGGATCCATGAGTGAATGTGTGTGTGGAGATGATGCCCAATTCTGACCTCCATTTGCTGATAGCCCTTCTGCACAGGGGGCTAGATCTTAGGGGCTAGTGAAGGCAATTTCAGCAAAGTAGAAAGGTTTGCTCTTAAATATGTTACAGAAATGACAGGGGGGCACATCTTTAAAGATATTACAATGTTACAAATATTATGCCTGAATGTATCCTTTCAACTTGACAGCTCAGGGAAGATACCGTGCTTTAGAAACTCATGTAAAATCAGTAGTTTGACCGATTCTCTTCATTCCAACGCCATTTTATCCTTAGAGAAAAGGACTCCTTTACCTTTCCTTCCCACCATAATCCATCCACAACACCCCACCCAGGGAGTGCCCACAGGTGGCAATCTCCGGGCTGATAGCTGACCATAAAATCCCAAGAGATCATCCCCGGACTTGCCACAGGACAAGGATATGTAAAGCGTTCTATTGTTCTTTGGTGATAGGTACTTGAGAGGTGTTAAGAGAATTGTCTGGACATGTTTGCCAAGGCTGAACTAGTGTAACCCCTGGCTACCCGTCCCCTTTTGTGACATGTCAGTGATGCAAAGATGATGTATCAGTGATGCTGCACAAACTGTATTCTGGGTGATTGTGGGAAGTTTTAAAAGCCAATGTCACCCCATGCTTGGGGTTCTTACTCCTGTGGGGACCTGTTGCGCAACAATAAAGATAATGGTCTACTGACCGCTGTTTTGCTCCAAATTACTTGGCTGGAACTTCCTTCTTTTACTGTCCACATGGACCCGTGGGGGACTTGGACCCCGATGAGCTGGGCTGTTGAGTTTTTCCTTAGCAAATATAAGAACATAAAATAAAGTCCTGATGGACCAGCCCCAAGCTCATCTAGTCTAGTGTTCTGTTCTCTCACAGTGTTCAACCACATGCCTATGGGAAGTCCAGAATACGAGGGCAATAGCTTTCTCTTGCTTATTATCCCCAGTAAGTGGTGTTCAGAGGAAGACTGTTTCTGATTTCTAAACCACTTAAATATTTAACAATCTCTAAGCAGTATACAAAAATACCATATAAAAACAATAGCATGGTTTCAGAAAAACAGAGATGCAACATAAAAACCAGTAAAACACTACTACAAAAACAGAAATTCAGTATTATCAGAGTCCAATCTTATGGGCCCAAGAAAGCCTGGGGAAAAAGATATTTATTTACCAAATGTCTGAGGCAAACAGGACAAACCTTATGTTTAGAGGCAGGGATTATTATGTATAAGAATAAATTATATGGAACAAGCAGGGATGGATTAAAAACAATATTAGCTGGCAGAATGATTGCTTTTCAGTCTCTTACTAGTATGTATTGTATGAGGAGAGAACTCACACTGGCAAACTACAAGACAAAAAGCTGTTGTGTTGATTATGAGAAGAAAAACTGGGTCATCAGCTGACACAGTCAGGTGATGCAACTGGAAGAAGGGCTCAGAAATCCCATTCTTTTAATGCCAACACTTTGTATAAATACGGTACATCTGCCATTCTAACCCTCTGTCCTTGCACTACATCCTAGAAGCAAAACTTTAAATAAATGAAACAGCAGCAAAGTCTTTATGACACCATTTCTCCAGCAGATCCAAGTGTTGTCCAAAGAAGGATTACTCTGATTAATCTGGTTTCGCAAATAAGGAGCCAAGGAGTGAAGGTGGCACAATGGAAACAAAGATTCCAAACCAAGATTTTCAAGAATGTGTTCAATAGTTTTACCACTAAGCTAAGCTTCAACTTAGTTTGGAAGGCTGCTAACTTCTATGCTGTGACCTTTGATGGAAGTCAAGACAGAACTGATTTCTTATATTGTAAAATCCCCTATCATCTTATGGTAAAGGGCAGGCAAGAAATCCAAATCATAATCATAATGTACCGTAAGTGAGGCCAACCTGATCTCCCCCTTGCCATAATGTTATTCCTGGAAGGGAAGACCTCTCTGTGGCCCTTGGTTCCCTTGTCAGTCAGTGGTCCTGATGTTCTTCCTGGGAAGGAGGGAGGAAACAGATGGAAGGAAGGAAGGAAAACTACATTGTGGCAGGAAATGGAGGGAAAACTTCTAGTGTTGATGCAGTATATCGGATATGAATCCTGTTTTAATTTAGCTAGCAGCACAATATGCAGCAGTGTCTGCATTTTTGTACGGTCTGTTATAATTTGGAATGGGGGAAAGCCTTCTGAGTGTGTGCCAGGCATATACAAGAGCCGCACTTCACTTCTCAAGGAAACCTCCAATAAACTTGAGAGTTCATTAAGAAGCTCCAGAATGGACTTTTGTGTGCCAAATTCTTTTTGAACTCTGGGAGGTCACATTTTCCTGCCATTCAGGAATTTGCTACCATATAAAACATAATAACCAACCTATTGTAGCTGCTTTGTGCGGATCCTTTTGCTACACAGTACTAAAGAGCTGTGCCAGTGGGTGTTATTGTAATATGTTTATTTACAAACATGCAAGTTGAACTGAAGGAGCAGGCAGACACCTAGCTTGACAATGCTAGTCTTTAAAACAGCATCAGCCCTCCAAAAGCAAACAGCATGCACTAGGAATCCTGCCGTCAGCTGAAATAATTTTGGCTTCTGTCTCCTTTGGTGACTGCCTTCCAGTGCCCAAACCCCCATGGAGGTGGAGCGAGTTACAGTTTCCTCTAGCTAGTAGCCATTAGCCCCCATAGCTATTAATGCACATTTAAGCAACTTACTTCTAGCCATCAGTGTCCATTAATAAAGCATATTTAGCTATTAGCCAGACAACAGCCTAAACATATCTCTGAACTTGACAATAGACAACAGCATTTTCATTACAGTATTATTTCATGTTCTCATATAACTGGTGTGAAATCCTGGGATCTGCTTTCCTTGTGAGTAGAGATTACTGGAAACTTGAGACATTTTTACTATATCTGTTTGTTTATACATATCTGAGATGACCAGGGATGCACCCATTCAGGTAAAACTAGTCTTGCAACACTTAGTCTCCCTGGGAAGCAATCAGACTCTGGTTTCTTCTCTCTTCTCCAGTCTGATTAGAACTGGACAACTCTTTCCATTAGCCTCCTTCTGCAGCCCCTACCCAAGCAATTGGCACTGTAGCCACTGACTGTCAAAGGCCAATTAAAACTAGCATCTCCAGCTACCAAGCTACACTGAAGCCTACAAAGAAGGTAATCTGGTTGCTTTGCAGGTCCCACATCCATTTGATTCCTGAAATACACCTGGGTGAAAACAAAAACCACCTCTCTCTCAATCTCATTCCTTCTCTTTCTCTTTGCACACACATACACTTCCAAATATGAGGAAGTCCTAAGAAAAAAGCTTTTCATACACATCCTTGGTGAAAGGCGACAGAGGAAATTATATATTTCTCTTATTTTTGGCACCATACCACAGTTTTATAACCCAGATGACTTTTTCAATCAAGAGGTTTGACATATGATTTTAATGTAATCATGAAAAAGTCCAGTGATTCAGCAACCTGGGAAAGGAAAGAAGGGAGGGAGAAAGAGGATGGATACAGTGGGAAAACATCCAAGCGAGGCCTCAGAGGGGTAGAAGTTATAATAGAATATGCATGATTAAGGACCAGGAGATGTCCAAATTTTTAATTTTATTAAATTTAGACACTGTGAAATTATGAACTGGAGAGGGAAGCCTCTAGCAAATTACAAGAGATAAAATTTATTAGCTCTGATTTATAGTCCATTCTGTCTCTTAAGACTGCCTTTACATGTTACATGGTTGATGCTCCTTCTTTGGCTGCTCCCACGGGGCTCATGGTAACATATATTCTTTTTTTTTTTTTTTATAATTTTTTTATTGATTTTACAGACAAGTTTTATACAATACAAACAAATAAAAAGACATACAAACATGTATAATTTCATAACCTTTTTTTCATAACCCTCTCTTCTCGGACTCCCCCAAACCTCCCCTTCCTACATCCCAATTTCCAAAATTATTTCAGCAAATTCTAAATAATTTTATCAAATATATTTTTCTTATTTTTTTTCTTCAACTTAATCTTATGTCGCTGTAATCTCCTTTTCTTTCTCCAAACCTCGACATTTTAACATTCCTCAATTTTATGATAGTTCTTTAGATAGATTTTAAATTTCTTCCAATCTTCTTCCACCGTCTCTTTCCCCTGCTCACGGATTCTGCCAGTCATCTCAGCCAATGTCATATAGTCTATAACCTTCATCTGCCACTCTTCCAAGGTGGGTAGTTCTTCTGTCTTCCAATACTTTGCGATGAGTATTCTTGCTGCTGTCGTAGCATACATAAAAAAAGTTCTGTCTTTCTTTGATACCAATTGGCCGGCAATGCCCAAGAGAAAGGCCTCTGGTTTCTTCAGGAAAGTACATTTAAGTACCTTTTTTAATTCATTATATATCATTTCCCAGAAAGCCTTAATCTTTGGGCACGTCCACCAAAGGTGATAAAAAGTACCTTCAGTTTCTTTACACTTCCAACACTTATTATCAGGCAAATGATAAATTTTTGCTAGCTTGACTGGAGTCATGTACCACCTATAGATCATTTTCATAATATTTTCCTTTATGGCATTACATGCCGTAAATTTTATACCGGTGTTCCACAACCATTCCCAGTCAGCAAACATAATGTTATGACCAATGTCCTGTGCCCACTTAATCATAGCTGATTTAACTGTTTCATCTTGTGTATTCCATTTCAGCAGCAAATTATACATTCTTGACAAGTTCTTAGTATTGGGTTCTAACAGTTCAGTTTCTAATTTTGATTTCTCCACCTGGAAGCCAATTTTCCTGTCTTGTTTATACACCTCCATTATTTGATAATAATGGAGCCAATCTCGTACTTTGGGTTTCAATTTCTCATAGCTCTGTAGCTTCAACTTATCTCCATCTTGTTCCAAAATTTCCCGATACTTTAGCCATTCGGCTTCCATATTAAGCTTTTTCAACGCCGTAGCTTCCAAAGGTGACAACCATCTAGGGGTCTTACTTTCCACCAAATCTTTATATCTTATCCAAACGTTATATAATGCTTTCCTGACAATATGATTTTTAAAGGCCCTATGCACCTTAATTTTATCATACCATAAATATGCATGCCAACCAAATGTATTGTTAAAACCTTCTAAGTCCAAGATGTCTGTATTCTCGAGGAGCATCCATTCTTTCAGCCAGCAAAAAGCTGCTGCTTCATAATACAGTTTTAAGTCCGGCAGGGCAAACCCCCCTCTTTCTTTTGCATCCGTCAGTATTTTAAATTTTATTCTGGGCTTTTTGCCCTGCCAGACAAATTTCGAAATATCCTTCTGCCACCTCTTGAAACAGTCTATCTTGTCTAGAATTTGTAATGTTTGGAACAAGAATAGCATTCTAGGCAATACATTCATCTTAATAACTGCAATTCGGCCTAACATTGACAATTTCAAATTTGACCATATTTCTAGATCTTTTTAAATTTCCGACCAACATTTTTCATAATTGTCTTTATACAGGTTCAAATTCTTAGATGTCAAATAAACCCCTAGGTATTTCACCTTCTTTACCACTGTCAAACCTGTTTCATTCTGAAACTTCTCCCTCTCCATGACTGTTAAATTTTTTTCCAAAACTTTAGTCTTTTGTTTATTCAATTTAAATCCAGCTACCTGGCCAAATTCTTGGATTAGCTCCAACACCCTTTTTGTACTAGTGTCTGGCTCTTGTAAAGTAA